GCATTTTTTGGAATTTTGGCCAAAAAATAAAATTGCTTCAAACTTCTAGGAAAGATGCCAAATGGACCTTAGAACACATTCCAATTCGATTTCTGGATGGATGGAAGCTTCAAAGGAATTTCTGTATTGTTTGGAGAAAAGTTTATTTTTGAACAAATTTCACTAAAAAAGTAAGGATAACTTTTTGCATTTTTTGGAATTTTGGCCAAAAAAATAAAATTGCTTCAAACTTCCAGGAATAATGCCTTACGGACCTTAGATCACATTCCAATTCGATTTCTGGATGGATGGACACTTCAAAGTAATTTCTTGTATTGTTTGGAAAAAAATTAATATTTGAACAATTTTCACTAAAAAAGTAAGGCTAACCCCTTGCATTATTTCCAAGTTTGGCCATCAAAATAAAATTACTTCAAACTTCTAGGAAAAATGCCCAATGGACCTTAGAACACATTCCAATTCGATTTCTGGATGGATGGACACTTCAAAGGAATTTCTGTATTGTTTGGAGAAAAGTTAATTTTTGAACAAATTTCGCTAAAAAAGGAAGGCTAACCCCTTGCTTTTTTTTCCAATTTTGGCCACCAAAATAAAATTGCTTCAGACTTCTAGGAAAGATGCCTACTGGACCTGAGAGCACATTCCAATTCGACTTCTGGATGGATGGACACCTCAAAGGAATTTCTGTATTGTTTGGAGAAAAGTTAATTTTTGAACAAATTTCACTAAAAAAGTAAGGCTAACCACTTGCATTATTTCCAATTTGGGCCATCAAAATAAAATTACTTCAAACTTCTAGGAAAGATGCCTACTGGACCTGAGAACACATTCCAATTCGATTACTGGATGGATGGACACTGCAAAGGAATTTCTGTGTTGTTTGGAGAAAAGTTAATTTTGAACAAATTTCACTAAAAAAGTAAGGCTTACCCCTTGAATTTTTTTCCAATTTTTACCAAAAAATAAACTTGCTTCAAACTTCTAGGAAAGATGCATAATGGACCTTAGAGCACATTCCAATTCGATTTCTGGATGGATGGACACTGCAAAGGAATTTCTGTGTTGTTTGGAGAAAAGTTTATTTTTGAACAAATTTCACTAAAAAAGGAAGGCTTACCCCTTGTTTTTTTTCCAAATTTGGCCAAAAAATAAAATTGCTTCCATCTTCTAGCTAAGATGCCCAATGGACCTTAGAACACATTCCAATTCGATTTCTGGATGGATGGACACTTCAAAGTAATTTCTTGTATTGTTTGGAGAAAAGTTAATATTTGAACAAATTTCACTAAAAAAAGTAAGGCTAACCCCTTGCATTTTTTCCAATTTTGGCCACCAAAATAAAATTGCTTCAGACTTCTAGGAAAGATGCCTACTGGACCTGAGAACACATTTCAATTCGATTTCTGGATGGATGGACACTTCAAAGGAATTGCTGTATTGTTTGGAGAAAAGTTTATTTTTGAACAAATTTTAATAAAAAAGGAAGGCTAACTTTTTGCATTTTTTGGAATTTTGGCCAAAAAATAAAATTGCTTCAAACTTGCAGGAATAATGCCTAATGGACCTTAGATCACATTCCAATTCGATTTCTGGATGGATGGACACTTCAAAGTAATTTCTTGTATTGTTTGGAGAAAAGTTAATTTTTGAACAAATGTCACTAAAAAAGTAATGCTAATCCCTTGCATTTTTTCAAATTTTGGCCACCAAAATAAAATTGCTTCAGACTTCTCGGAAAGATGCCTACTGGACCTGAGAACACATTCCTATTCGATTTCTGGATGGATGGACACTTCAAACGAGTTTCTGTGTTGTTTGGAGAAAAGTTAAGTTTTGAAAAAAATTTACTAAAAAAGTAAGGCTAACCCCTTGCATTTTTTCCAATTTTGGCCACCAAAATAAAATTGCTTCAAACTACTAGGAAAGATGCTTCATGGGCCTTAGAACACATTCCAAATCGATTCCTGGATGGATGGACACATCAAAGGAATTTCTGTGTTGTTTGGAGAAAAGTTTATTTTTGTACAAATTTCACTAAAAAAGGAAGGCTAACCCCTTGGTTTTTTTTGCAATTTTGCCCAAAAAATAAAATTGCTTCAATCTTCTAGGAAAGATGCCTTATGGACCTTAGAACACATTCCAATTCGATTTCTGGATGGATGGACACTTCAAAGTAATTTCTTGTATTGTTTGGAGAAAAATTAATTTTTTAACAAATTTCACTAAAAAGTAAGGCTAACCCCTTGCATTTTTTCCAATTTTGGCCACCAAAATAAAATTGCTTCAGACTACTAGGAAAGATGCCTACTAGACCTAAGAACACATTCCAATTCGATTACTGGATGGATGGACACTTCAAAGGAATTTCTGTGTTGTTTGGAGAAAAGTTTAATTTTTGAACAAATTTCACTAAAAAAGGAAGGCTAACCCCTTGCATTTTTTGGAATTTTGGCCAAAAAATAAAATTGCTTCAAACTTCTAGGAAAGATGCCTGATGGACATTAGAACACATTCCAAGGACACTTCAAAGCAATTTCTGTATTGTTTGGAGAAAAGTAAATTTTTGAACAAATTTTACTAAAAAAGAAAGGCTAACCCTTTGCATTTTTTCGAATTTTGGCCAAAAAATAAAATTGCTTCAAACTTCTAGGAAAGATGCTTAATGGACCTTAGAACACATTCCAATTCGACTTCTGGATGGATGGACACTTTAAAGTAATTTGTTGTATTGTTTGGAGAAAAGTTAATATTTGAACAAATTTCACTAAAAAAGTAAGGCTAACCACTTGCATTCATTCCAATTTTGTACAAAAAATAAAATTGCTTCAAACTTCTAGAAAAAATTCTTAATGGACCTGAGAACAAATTCCAAATTCCAAAGTAATTTCTTGTATTGTTTGGAGAAAAGTTAATATTTGAACAAATGTCACTAAAAAAGTAAGGCTAACCCCCTGCATTTTTTCCAATTTTGGCCAAAAAATGAAATTGCTTCAAAGTTCTAGGAAAGATGCTTAATGGACCTTAGAACACATTCCAATTCAGCATTCCACAACCTCTTTATATTATTCTGTAATTCTGAATGCACTCCTTAATGCAGTGAATTGTGCAATGCAATGTGAATAACAAACAACCAAGACAACAATTTTTTTTCAAATCTGTGTTGAATGCAAATTTCATACTCCAGACTAATCAGAAGAAACAGACAAGAAAAAACAGTGATAAAATCAACCACATTTTTGACCCTTTCATGCATGTTCCCCTTGAATTTCTGTGTTGTTTGGAGAAAAGTTAATATTTGAACAAATTTCACTAAAAAAGTAAGGCTAACCACTTGCATTCATTCCAATTTTGTACAAAAAATAAAATTGCCCCAAACTTCTAGAAAAAATTCTTAATGGACCTGAGAACAAATTCCAATTCAATTTCTGGATGGATGGACACTTCCAAGGAATTTCTATATTGTTTGAAGAATAGTTAATGTTGAAAAAATTTCACTAAAATAGTAAGGCTAACCCCTTGCATTTTTTCCAATTTTGGCCAAAAAATAAAATTGCTTCAAACTTCTAGCAAAGATGCTTAATGGACCTGAGAACACATTCCAATTCGATTTCTGGATGGATGGACACTTCAAAGGAATTTCTGTATAGTATGGAGAAAAGTAATTTTTTGAACAAATTTCACTAAAAAAGTAAGGCTAACCCCTTGCATATTTTGGAATTTTGGCCAAAAAATAAAATTGCTTCAAACTTCTAGGAAAGATGCCTAATGGACCTAAGAACACATTCCAATTCGATTTCTGGATGGATGGATACTTCAAAGTAATTTCTTGTATTGTTTGGAGAAAAGTTAATATTTGAACAAATGTCACTAAAAAAGTAAGGCTAACCCCCTGCATTTTTTCCAATTTTGGCCAAAAAATGAAATTGCTTCAAAGTTCTAGGAAAGATGCTTAATGGACCTTAGAACACATTCCAATTCAGCATTCCACAACCTCTTTATATTATTTTGTATTCTGAATGCACTCCTTAATGCAGTGAATTAGCAATGTGAATAACAAACAACCAAGACAACAATTTTTTTTCAAACCTGTGTTGAATGCAAATTTCATACTCCAGACTAATCAGAAGAAACAGACAAGAAAAAACAGTGATAAAATCAACCACATTTTTGACCCTTTCATGCATGTTCCCCTTGATGTTCATACCGAATTTTAGAAAAAAAAATCATTAAATGGCCGAGATCTGGGGGTGGAATTTAACCCTTGTAGTGATCAACGTCAAAATATTGGAAGGGTCACACCGCGGTAAGGGAAGCTAGGTTGCTATATAGCGAGAAATGAGACTGTAATTGGTGTTTTAATGTCGTCAGGGAAACGAAATTGCGAAATTACAGTGATGTTTTTGGCGCTCGAATTTCAATTTTTCACGTCCTTCTCATAAAGGCGACAAACGTGCAAAGTATTGGAAGGTCAATCAGAAACACTGATGAATTGATTCTTCCGCAACAGCTGCAGTCACTCCCCATTATACGCATGCCCGAGGCATCACGTGATTGAGGAATTATATCACGTGATATTAGATAAGTGGATTAGTGTATGTGCGAAGCGAATCCGTTGTTCAGCAGCCGTGTGGTTGCAAGGGCCGATTTCTAAAGGTTACGTGGAACACTTTAATGAAATAAAAACACCATGCACACGGACATGGGGATGTTCGCGGGTGAAATCTTTGAAAATCAATTTCTCCCGTTTGGAACTGATGACCGTATCTTTACACTACTTTGATCCAACTATGTGCTTAAAATCGTCTTGATAGTTCACTACTTTTCGTTGAAATTGGAAAAATATAGGCCTGGTTACGTGCATCATAGTTTTAAAAGTTGTAACACTGGTGTTTGCAATATCTGTCAATCTTTTCCAGCTTCACGAATTAATAAGTTTTCTATCCAGAGAGAGAAAAAAAACGAATGTGCATGCCGCACGTGCTTATGATATTTTATTGTACCTCTGCCAGTAGACTCCATCCGAGAGGCGGTGTTTACGGTATCCCCAAAGAGACAATATCGAGGCATCTTGATACCAACAACTCCAGCAACGCAAGAACCTACGAAAACGAGGCAAAGAATCAACCTATTACGTTTTTATTAAACTAAATTAAAGTCTTGGTCTTAAACAACCAATTTGAATTCTAGTACAGCTTTTCAATTTTTTTCAATTTAAGTGAAATTTGTACTGATTGTTTGCAGAAAATGACGTCTTTACGCAGGCGCGGTTCTAGAACCAATATTTGGGGGGGGGGGGGGCTAGCACGGTGGATCCAGAATTTTTTTCAGGGAGGCGTGCTGAAATGTTGACCGGTTATTTTTTCCAGACACTTAGGCCTCCGAAAATCAATAGGGGGGGAGCTCATGCCATATTTTCAATGGGGAGCGCCAATAAAATCCTAAAGTCATTCACACTATAGCACGGGCGAATCCAGAACACAATTTGTTTTTTTTGGGGGGGCCAAAAAAAAAATTGGTCCCCCCCAAAAAGTGGGTCCAAAAAATTACGACGTGGGGTTCGGGGCCCGCTTAAGGGCCCCGAACAATTTTTGGATTCTAGATGCTCTGTGGTGCGATCTGAGGCAATTTCTGACCACTTTAACCAATTGTTTTTGAGGAAAAGATGGTGGTGTACTCATTGCCTGCCGTTATTGCGATGTCACATAAAAAAACCGATTGGTTTCGTTTTAGGGGCCATGGCCCCCTTTGGCCCCCCCCCTCCTGGATCCGCCCTTGCACTATATTAACTAATCACCCTTGTCACGGCTATTTCTTCTTTAGGGGGAGACCGTTCGCATGTACATCACAATCCTCCTTCTTTTTAATGCAATTTTTTTTTTTGACGGAATTTATTTTTGGGGGGGCTAGACAAAATTTTTGGGGGGGGGGGGGGGGGGGCTACAGCCCCCCCTAGCCCCCCCGTAGAACCGCGCCTGTCTTTACGGCACCTCTTGCTTTTCAAAGTATAGCCTATAGTGGGCGCTGGCTATTGTTACGGTGTGGCAGGTGCATCACAGGGGCGATCATATGGCGCATTTCAGGACAATATATACATACAGACAATTACAAAAAAGGCACTCGTAAAGGCCGCTCGCACAAAAAGGACACGCTTTCGGAAAATGGCCACTTGCTAACATAAGAAGGGCACTCTTTAAAAGATTGGGGGAGGAATCTCTGGCGAAAAAAAGGAAAAGGAAAAGGGCATTCCTTACAAAATATTGGGGGCGGGGGTAAATACCCCCCTTACCACCCTCTCCCCCTCCCCCCTCCCCCTCCCCCCCCCCGGCTACGCCTTTGACATCACCTGAGTGCAAGCCGACTCTCAGACTAAGGCTCTCCGCAGGAAGGTGCGGTATCCGGAAGAGTTGCACCTCCCGTAGCAGGTCCAACGCCATGCAGGCGATCTCACAGGCGTGGTTGGCCGTGGGTTCGGGTAGGCCCGAAGCCACCATGTAGGCGTCTCCTATCGTCTCCACCTTGTACACGTCGTACATGTCGATGTAATTGTCAAAGATGCTGCGGGATAAACAGATACATATTTGCAGTTTTTTTCAGTCCCCCCCCCCCAAAAAAAGAGAGAGTTATTCATATTTCTATAAGGAAATACATTTTGAATGTTAAATTGGCATTGTAAGTAACTTCTAATTAATTTTCCAACAAATATTTTCAAGTTTTGTGTCCGTTTTGTGGGATGTATTGCACCCCTGAAAAAAATCAAATATTAACTTAGTTATGACCTTCCAGCATACATTATGATTTTTTTTTCAAGATTAAAGGGAACACAACTGTTCACTACGATTTGCAGTCTAATCATGGCACCTTGGTTCTGTCCTGTCATTTTTAAGAAAAGTGGTATTTTTGTGTCAATTTCCAACGATGGTCGGCCGACCAGCGTTGGAAAAAACGTTTTTTTCCCTTCAAATACTGCCCCCGATTTACCAAATTTAGTTAGTCTGCATTTTCTTTGCAATCGATTACGGTCAGGGAGCCAGACTACAGGAACGTGATTATTTTTCTTGGTTTTCCAGCATCTACGCACACAAAACTTCAAACACGTCAGTGGAAAAACAATATTTTCTATGAAATATAAACCCCCAAATCCATCCATTTCTCAAAATTACAGCAAAAATGAAAGTTGTATATTCCATTCGATTGATCATCGATTCACCTTTAAAGGCGTAAGGAACATAATTTGTGAATAAAGATCAGTTTTTAAACTTTAGACAGAAAAATGATTAGAAATAATCTTTAAATTAATTCAGGATACCAGTCATCGGGCGTCGGTGATTGGTCAGTGTTGGAGGTGTTAGCTTGACATTTTGATTCTGATTGGTCGTTATGAGCAGGCTCATGATATTAATATTCATCCCATGATTAATGAAACTGGTCTCTAAAAATGAACTCTCCGAAATGTTCTTAATTCTAATTGGCTGTACCAAATATTTTTTAAAATGATTATAATAGTTATGTCAAATTGCCAGTGCACCAATGAAAAGATAATCACTTTAAATCCATTGCATAAAATAGGGAGGAAGCATAAAATGAAACTTGTAACTGGTACTCGGCCTCATATGATGGTGCACAAATTGCCTGGTTTGTTTTGTCATCTAATCCCAAGATACAGTGCGAGTATCAAAAAGGTTTTGTCGCTAATTATCACGAACACTCCCACATACATGTCCAGCGAGAGAACGAAGCTCTATTTGTGAGGAGAACCACTCCCGCGTTGTCAATTAATTTCGGAAAAGCATTAATGCGTGGGATACTCACTATATTCTGATTTCGTTTCTAGGGCTTGGACGTGATGCACTAAATTGGTCGCTTTGGGAAAACCTCTTTACACTAATGGTCCCTTTTGTTGAGAAGAAAATCTCGTGCGGGTAGATATAATGATTAACAACATTATACAAATAATGAGTGTTTATAAGTGCAATGGTGAGAATATTTTCATGAGTTGACAGATTGAAGGTTCCATTCAACGCGGCGAAGCGTGACCTACAATCCTCCCATCAAATGAAAAGGATTTTTACTTGGGTGTTATTATAATAGTTGTTATTTTGGGATTATTTTGACAAAATTGTGTGCAGAGGGACTTCGCTGTTGTTGACGTTATGTTTGGATAGTGCCGTGTATTTTTCCTCTCTCTTTTGCCCTTTTCATGCCTCTTAGCATTCCCATTCCTCCAACATCAAATATTTAATAATAAAGATCGGCACAACATTACAAATGTTGCAGTTGCATGAGTTGCTGAGATTCTACTTGGACAAATTCAATTTAGTAGGAAGTATGTTGTACAGTATTTTGAAACAATACTCTTTATTGCCGAGTTGTAAGCCACAGTTCTGAGTTGTAAGCCAAAGCTTTTAAAAAAAAATAAGCAAGAGCATTCATTTAAACAATATTTATGCTCGTTTATGATAGCAATATGAATTCAGCAATATCTTGTGCCACGTTTTGATGTAGAGCACGCGTGTGGGCTAGTCTGAGTATCACCCGTTATCCACGGAGCCAAGTCTCCTGTATAACGTCTGATATGTCTAAACATGCAGATATATGCAAGCCGCGCGCCAGCCAATCGGAGTCGACTCTACTAAATCGTGACTTCATTTCATTCTTAAATCAGCACTAATTCAGCAGTCAATTCGAATACAGTGTTCTGTAATACAACAATAGCCGGGCGCATGTCGCGTAACATGATACAGAGCGCGTGACTCAGTTTTTTTTTATCCATGTCTATGACGCGCAACGGGTGAATGACCGAAGACCCGATATACTAAAAAACGCCCGCTGATTGGTCAAAATCTCGTACCCACCTCCCAAATGGGGGCGCTTTTTAAAACTGACCATTATTATGCAAACATCAAATTATATACCCATTTTCACGGCGCATTGATATGGCTTTTTAGCGGGTTTTCTTTTTTGGGATAGATGTCAGAACTCTCTTACCATTGCTGAGCAAAAAATTTGTGGAAATTTTTTTTATGAAAATTCATTTACCTGTGTCTATTTTGTTAAATGGTGATAAATACGTGCTTTGTCTTTAAGTGGTTAAGCTTAATAGCTTTTTAAAGTCTTAAATTTGTCGACTTTTACTGAACAGATATAAATTAATAATTTCATGACTGCTCACAGAAAGAAACATGCAATTTTCAACCGACGAATAACATTTTATCATCTTTCGATCTTTGTCATCATCAACATCATTATAATTATTTCATCCACAGGGCCATCCGGTCATTCCTCCACGTTTTCATCCAACTCCCTACGAGTGATAAGAATCCATGCACAGATCCTACCGATGACCGTGCTGGATGTGCATGTGTAGAAAGGCCATCTACTTGCGAAGCAGAATAACCTTCAGATTGTCAGCTCGTTCAGATATGAAATTGGCTGCAGACTCCTTCGTTTCAAATCAGGCGTGCCGCATGATTCAAAAACCCGTGTTATATGCTAGACTTGATTGCTGTTGTATGTCTCTGAGTGGTTCTAAGAGCCCTTGATTTTTTTTCCAACTTCATGCAAGCTTTCACGCGAAAGTCATCACTTGAAGGCATCAATTTAAATTAGGCACATTTCAATACTAACACACTGCTATGATGGATGTGTAATATGTTACACATCGCTGGATTTTTTTTCAACCCTGTATTATGCTTTTTTAGCTCACGGATGATAACGTTACAAGAGGCGATGCGATTCATAATAATGTACATAATAATAACGGGAAATTGTACCTCATTTTTATAGGGAGACATTCCAATAGGGCGATGCACAATTTATCTCCAACGTTAGTGACCCCTAACCACAATTTTCACTTATCCTTCCCCCACGAATTTGGGCACAATTATGTTTTGGACCACGAGCAATCGATCTAGCCTACGATGAAATGTTGCCACTCCTTAGTAGTAGTTGTTACATTATAATGGGGGACATAAAGGGGACATAACATGTTTCCCTAATGTGGCCCGGATCGAGTAAAATTTCACCTGAGACTTTCAAAAAAGTTATACAAATAAAATTAATCTTTTGAAGAATTTTGCGGATTTCAGTTGTACACTCTTAAAAACCCTGATCAGATTTTGGCCTGGAATGAGTTCTATTTTGGAGGGTAAAAATGTACACTTTTCTTGGTCAAAATTTAAAAAAATCTGGGTCAAAATGACACTTTTGCCAAGGTTTTTTTGGTCACAGTGACCCGGGAAATGACGTTAGAGAAGTGTCACTTTGACCCGGAAAAGTGCCCATGTTGACACTGAAGAGTCTTTGTAAAGTCCTTGATTTCGGGTAAAATGCTACTAAATTACATGTCTCTGTAAAAGCAGTGGTATTTCTATATTTGCAATATACATTCTTCTCAGAACTACACCTGTTTTCCAATTAGTCACTTTATATGATGTATCTTCAACCTTGTACGAATTAAGTTTTATCCTCAACCATGCAAAGCTTGACATCGAAGCAAACAACATACCTGTACAGGTCATTCAAAAACTCTATGATTTGCATTGGCGTGCTTCGTGCTGCCAGGCTGGTGAACTCGACGATATCACCGAAGTAGATGGTGACACTGCTAAACTCCTCAGCTATCAGCTCCTGCTTCTGCCGTAGCTGATCGGCCACGCTGCGGGGCATCATCTGGTACAGCAGCTTCTCCGTGGTCCGTTTTTCCCGGGTCAACTCCTTGGTCTTGACGCCGAGATTCCTGGCGTAAATCCCGACCTTTCTGAGCAGCTGCCTGGCCTGGACGAGCTGGATGGTGGCCAAAGTCAGGGACACCGCGACGGTCAAAACCAGCACGGTGATGTTGCCGGCCACAGCCTGCAAGGCACCGGCTATGATCTCGTCAATCTTCACGCTGATGTAGTCTGACTCTCCTTGCATAACGGCCGCAAGAATCTCTATAAATATAGTCATGTTCTTGAACCAGTACTCGGACAATCGCGATGCCCGGCCTTCTCCGTGATCGGCACACGGGTCCCCTCCCCTGATGATTTCACTCCGCATGATGCGAAGATAAAACCCGTTGGGTTCCTTCGAGCGTACAAGTTCTTGATAGGTGGCGGCCGCCGCCGGCGAGTAGAAAAACACCGTCTTGATCTGGGATTCGCTGCTGGAATAAAGTCTGCGGAACCAGTCCAGGTCGGCGGGACGTAGAGAACACCCAGCATAGAAGCTGCTACCTAGAGCACGCTGAATGCCGTACAGATCAGAAAGAAGGAGGATGTTATCTTTGCAGACAATGCGGGGCCACAGGGTCCCTTCTACAAGCCTTGTGCTCTGGCCGTAAGATTCCACCAGCAGCTGCTGAATGATATCAGTGTAAAATGTTATTGGATGGGTGATCGGTAACTCACTTCCCTTGAAATCCACGTACGATCTGTACCGATTGATATCGTCAAGCAGCATCTCTTTGGTTGCGTATACTGTACCGGAAACATTCAGTGTGAGGAACGCGTTATCGTTCTCGATGGCCCGGTTAGTTACTGATCGTTTTTGATTCAGGGTTTCCATTACACTTTCCTCGGTTCGATTCCCGCTGACGTAGGTTGCTGTGAGTCCACGCTCTACCTGGAGAGCGAGTATGACGGCGGAGACCCTCTCACTGGCATCGATGGAAGCCAAGGTCATGCGGGAGTGCTGCAGCTTGGAGACTGTGGCTGCAAGGGAAAGTGCAGACGAGACGGTCAAAGCCACCAAAGGGATAAGAATCACCACCAGCATCTTAGCCATGTCCTTGGCGTTACTGTGATTGTCCGTGGCTTTCTCCAGGACCATCTTCATTTGGTGTCTCTCGCCGCCCAGGGTGCTGGTTGAGCCCCGGCTGGTGAGGCAGTCAGTCCCGGTCACGCTGCCGTCAAGCCGGGGCGAGGGCTCCAAATCATGGGAGTTCCCCGTGATAATGCCCTGCATGGGCTGAACCCGCGATCGCCCTTTGCACGGCGTACACATGTCTTGATATGCGAGAAGACTGAAGAAAAATGAAAATCGCCGTGTAGCCTACGGTTCGTTATGCAGCCGTCCAATCCGCCGCTATTGGCAAATCATGCGGCATGGCTGTGACGTTGCCACGACGACACCGTGCTCGACTCGCAAAAGGGTGGCGTGGGTGGCTAGTTTGTATGCGTAAAGCGCTCGCCTCTCACCACTGTGGCCCAGGTTCGTTTCCGCACGCCCCCCTCCCCCCCCATAAAAATCGTCGCCGCCCCCCCCCTTCAGGCCCTCCCCAGTAGCCCTCCCCTCCCCCTCCCCCTCCCCCCACTGGAAATTTGGCAATCGCCAAAAAACACCAAACCACGATTATGGGGTTTTGCGAATTTATATACTGTTTATTTTAACGTCCCGTGGAACGCAAAATTGTCTGACAATGACCATAAATTCAGTTTTGAACAGCGCCCTATTGAAAGATAGTATCTAGCCCTCCCCCTACTCTATTTGTTTTTACGGAGGCCGGGTGTCCGGTGATAAAAAACTTTTACCGTTGAGCACTCGTAACATTGGGCGTCCCTCGACTGTAACATGCAGCCCCCACTCTCCCCCAAGGATGACCACCCTGGCTATGCCGCTGATAAAGTTGTGCGTTGGTTCTCTCCTGTGCCACAATGGTTTTTCTCCGGGCCTTCGATCCGGTTTTCCTCCGTCCGAAAAAAAATCAAACACATTCGATCTCTGGCTGAGCTCCGTGGTCTTATAATATGGATAGTATGGCTGGCTGCCAAAGACGCCTTTCCCTGCCTGCAGCTCGACCACGAGTAGCCGCGTCCTTCGCAATTCAGCTTCTCAGCTGAGTAAGGATAATGAGCTTCCCAAAATATTAATATTATTATTCCTTATTGGATGAAAAAAATGACGAGCGACATCAGCAGAGCTCATCCCTTGGCTGTTTTCTTTTTCTTTGGCTGACTTATCAAAGACGAAACCTTCAGTCGCTCATAATATGAACATTTGTGTAGCAATAGCATGGTTTATTCAACGGAATGTCCCTCGTGCATGATGATGGTTGCATTAATAGCTGATTGTTTATCATAAGGTATTTTTAATACTCATCTTTTCATTGACAAGCTTTTAAATTAAATTTGAAGAAAAAAAACCGACCTCAAACGGCAGTTTCATTCAAAAGAACACTCGTCGCTTTTATTTTGTGATGGCGTGTGTTTGCATCTATATCCGAAGAACAATAATTATGCATTTAGCCGACGTGAATTACGTCGTGAATCGTTGTCTTGCTACCGCGGCATAGGCCGACAATAATTAAATTCAGATACTGATCTTGTAGTTTTCTAAATGTCCATGAAGTGTTTACTGAATAAATGGTGTAGAAATAGTCCACGGGACAAAATAACAAACGCAATGAGATGTACAAACTGTCGTCACATCGGGACTTAAACCCGTTCTACAGCGCGTCCCAAAATACCTGCAACATATTTTTTTTGCGACGGTCTTGCGTCGCAGCCGGAATACGTAACGCCATTATTTTATATCATTTTGGAGCTTGGAATCATGACTTTATTCATGGTAAATATTGGTTGGATTTTCAATAGGGTTTTGAAACAATTCATGTTAAAAAAAAAAGACATGTAAAAAACAAGCTCAACCGATTTCAAGGAAAGTGTGGAAATGGCTCATGATGTGATGACGATGTCGTTGCCTGGTACTTTTTGTGCTTCCTATTCTTTTCGATCCACGTAGATTACACCTTAAATGAAACTTTCTCATAGAGTGCGTTCGATTACTTCCCCCGGCTTACTCGCGCTTGCTCCTCGCGTGATGACAGGCATGCGCAGTGGAGCTAAATAAACGAACGGTTTAAGGTTGAACTTTGAAATGACACTGAGGCTGCATCCGAATCAACTGTCTACAGCTAGGTCTAGGTCCGCGCCCATTGAAAATACACGGTGACGGGCTGACAATAGACGTAGCTGTAGCCCTGGAAGCACACGGCCTGAGGCGCCCGCCGGACATCACGTTGGCAGCCATGTTTATTGCATGGCCTTATGGGATACTTACCCAACTAACCGGCTCGGCGAGTCGGTCACTTGGGCTAGGCTCTAGTAAGCTCGAGAAGTCACGTCAGAGGTAAATCAAACGCTGTCTCGCTTGCACAAGTAAGCACGGGGGAAGTAATCGAACGCACTCCTTGAAATGCATACACACAATACCGGATGTGATTTCTTTTTCATTGCAGACCATGTGGACAAATTTTGAGCGTTGAATAATAAGCATTTTGACCCTTTGTGAATTCGAAACGGAGCCTGAGCAACTGACAGGAATTGAAAATTTACAAAACGGATAATTTTTACGGACTTTCCTACATTATTACGCTTTTCAAAGACAAAAAAAGGCATTTATGAATGGGAATAAAAGAGTGATGAATGACTCAGTCTTAACGACCAACCTTGCAGGGTCATGGCCGTGAGGACCTGCCGGTCACAGGTCACGCAAATTCTATCCAATCAGCGCGTGAATTCATCAGCCCTTCCCAGCGTCCTGTCTGCAGGACGGGGGTACAAGCGAAGGAGAGATCTATTAGGCCAAAAAAAAAAAAAAAGTCGGTCTCTGGTCAGCGCGCGCGTCGATTTTAATCATGCGCGTCGATCTTTTTTTTTCCAAAATGTTCCGTGGTAGCTCCAACAGCGCCCTCTATTTCCGCACCTCCTCATTTTTTTTTACCAAAGAGCACCAAGGAATGGGAAATTGCACCAAGGCAAATGATCGAAAGCACCAAGGCAAATTATGGAGGACACCAATGTACATGAGGACACCAAAAAAGCAAAATAGTACCCCACCTTGTCTGTACAATCCAAGCTAGAAGAAAGAAAGAACAAAAAAAAAAGTCGCGTGGCCTCGTCAATTCCGGAACTTTGGTCTGACCAGAGACCGAATTTTTTTTTTTGGGCCTTAAATGGATTTTTCTTTCAACTCCATTATGGGAAAATTCATCCGGGAAAACGATATTTTGAGTTTGAGTTTGCATTGAAAGTTAAATTACCGATTGTACTCCATACACGAAGTAATCAGGGTCTTCGAACAGTGAACAGTGCGCGGCTAAGTCGATTAAATCTTGCTCAACGTTGCCGTATCCGTATGTTTAACCTCGCAAGGAAAGATGAAATCCTTGTTTGCACAAAGGAAACCTTTTGTGCCATTAATTACTAAGGCAAGGTCAAATTCATGAGAGTACGGTAGGGAGCTGTTTCACGATTGACCTATCGCCTTTTGCAACACAAGCTCCAACTATAATCCAACACCAAAATTAACACCAAACCCCACCAAACCCCAACCCTAACACATACACACAAATGTGTATTCACCTGCAATCGTGGACCCCCTATTGTACCTCCTTTGTTTGTACTAACTTTTGAGGAAGACCTCCAATGTATTTTGTACACAATCGTCAATTGTGGACCTATATTGTCCTCTATTGTTCAACCCTATCGTGTAATTGTTCAGCGTCCCCTAATGAATGCAGTAACAAACTCACACTGTAAACGCCAACCCAAACACCAAAAGGGCAGAACTCATTTTCTGGATGGAGCGCTCGGTGCGTTTTCACCGATAAAAACCTCATTTTTACCTTCGCCATAGGCCTGTGACATCTACGTGTAACCTTCATGTGCAACAAGCAATGGCAGTTCTACGGGGCGGGGGGGGGGGGGGCCTCAAAATTGTTTTTGTCTAGCCCCCCCCCTCCCCCCAAACAAAATGTAAGAATGTGACGTACATGGGAATTGTCTCCCCCTAAATGAATAGTCGCGAGAAGGGTGCATATTTTGTACATTTTTAGTTAATATAGAGTGCCTGGTTGTAGGATTTTATCAGCGCTGCCCATTGAAAATATGACACGAGAAAAAGAATATTTTAGAGTTGAATTGAGATTTTGGTGATAAAACGACAGAGGAAATTGTGAATTTACCTTTTTTTGTCGACTTGAATTGAATTAGAAGGCAATATTTTTTTTCTACGATGCTCAAACATGCAACAGATATAAATCTTAACATTCCATAGATCCAAACATGTGGGGAAAAGGGGTATAGTGTAATAAGCGTTTAGAAATGTATCAGCGCTCCTGAATCCAGCAGTCACTAAGCTCGGTGAGCACGAGCGATGCGCGCCCTCTGGTGTTGAAATCCTGTTGTCTGGTTCCCAGCCCTAAACTAAAGATTCTAACCACAAACAAATACATGTAGCGCTGTAGTTAACAATACCGGGCGCCACCAAGAGTTTTCCTCGCAGCGGTAAAATGGTCAATTTTAGCGCCCATTGTCGGAAATGGCGGTCAGGCAGTCAATTTCTTACCGCTGAGGGCGTTCTCATGCACGAAAAATCCAAATACAAGGTATTTAAACATTCCCAGGATGGACAATGGAACGTCACTCAGAGGAGAGTGCATAATCTTCCTATTACATTTTGACGACCATCAATTGCACTGCATTGGGCAAACCCTATTCCCGCCTCCTTGTCCGCATTATCCGCATTACTCATTGACAGGCTTGATTCAAGACGATTCTATTGTACTCTTCCTCAAACATGATGAACAGCCGCAGGAGGGCGCTGCCACGGACCTAGCGGAATGCCAGGGAGGTATAGCGGTGATTGGAACTGATCCCACTATTGTTACATACCTCTAAATAATGATATTATAAGGCATGGATTGTGAACTCGGTGCTTAACAAAAGAAGGCGCTTTTTAAACTTACATCGCACAACCTTGCCTTCTTTGTGTGGACTATATAATACCTGAATACAAAACAGGTCCACACGATGCAGGTTGAGTGAACCTTCTGTGGACTAAGCCAGGGGCCAATTTCATAGAGCTCCTTAAGTACAAAATTTGCTTTAAGCACAAAAACGTCTTGCTTAATAAAATCAGGTTACCGGCCAAAACTCCATGCGATTGTTATGCTAAGTAAACAACAGCTAAATACCAGTCACAAGCAATGTACATCACATGGTGTTTTGGCCGCTAACCTAATTTTACTAAGCAATGTTTTTTCGTACTTAAGCAAATTTTCTGCTTAAGCAGCTCTATGAAATTGGGCCCTGGTCAACCAAAGGTTTACCCTTCTCTGGAAAAACAGGTTTTGGACGCATTTGGGGGTTAGGGTTCTTCGTGTAAAGATAACTTGAACTGCTGATACGAAATGGCCAAGACATTAGTGCGAGTAGGCCCGCTGGTGTGATTGTGGTGCCATTAGAGGGCGCACTATTCACCGTCCACTATCGATCACTAGCGTCTTGGGCCAAGACTAGTATTGACAAAGCACAGTGATATTCTTTTTCACGAAGTTCACAAGCGTGTTCATGCAATTACGAACTGAAGATCTATCAAACGTTAGTGCTTAGAGACAATAGTTTCACTTTGTTGAGAAAAAGAATGCATCGAAGAGACGTGATATTAAGCGAGTCCTTCGCTCCTTTGAAATTTTCAAACGACACTTGGTTCATTTCGTTATACACAGAAAACCGGTCACAATTCTGAAACCCATGATTCATGGAAAAATATTTATTACATTGTGCGTGCATTGAAATGGTATATAATTGACACTTTTACAAACTTTGCTTTTAAAAACCATTCGTTCAACATTTTGGTATACGATCTTCAGTGGTTGAGATCTTGAGAGGGCGCTGTTGCCTTTACCTCATGAACTCTGTGGTGCGCCTCAATTATTGTGAATCACATAGTTTTGAATTACGTCCAACTTTTTCTATTCTACGTTAAGTAATTGTACTCACGTTACGAACCCTGAAATCGAATCAAACGTTTTGTGCGCTTTGACTGACCAACAAATGTCACTGTTCGAGCAATATACACGGGTACTACAAAAATACAATCGGTTGGAATATGTACACTGATGAACAAAGAAAACATTTCTTTCCTGAAATGAGTTTTGTTAATTAATTATAGCTATTAAAAACGTTCACACAATAGTTCGATGATTACCTAGTCTCAGTAGGAAATATAGTGGAAAATATAGAATACAGTTATACATCATAAAATATAGAATATCATTAATTATATAATACAATCTGATTAGTAAATTACACTCTTGTGACGTTACTGTGCTATAGGTTCATGAAAGTAATTTTGTGACAAATCCGGTGCAGCGAGCATGCAAGGGACAACAATAGTGACATGCGTTCAACCAGATAATTATTAATATTTAATCGCACTAATAGGTCACTAGTATTTTTTAAAATAATACTAATATTCGACCAAAGATGTAATACTTTTTCTGGCATTTTGAATACCAAAGCGCCGACAGTTGCACAAACCGGTACCAATGTAACCCAAGGATAAATCAAAATTGTCGGTCTCTGGTCTGACTAAAGATGCAGCGATGCGTTTTTTTTTCAAGCTTCGACTGTACAGAGAAGATGGGTACTATTTTTTGTTTTGTGTCCCCATATACCTTGGTGTCCTCCATCATTTGCCTTGCCTGGTGCCCTGCATTATTTGCCTATGTGCCCTTCCCCATTCCCTTATACAATGCTCCTGGGTACGAAAATTTGGAGGCGGTGCGGCAATAGAGGGCGCTCTTGTAGCTACCGTGGAAAATTTTGGGGAAAAATTATTGACGCGCTGACCAGAGACCTACTATTTTGTTGTTGTTGTTGTTGTTGTTGTTGTTGTTGTTGCCTAAGCCTGAAAATAATTACCGGTGAAGACGTATAATATACTGGAAGAAACTACAAATGACACATGTTGTATGTAGGCCACTTGGTATACCCTTAGATGGTATCCGAACCATCACTAACACTGGCCGCGCCTGTAATTATAATGTCAGCCATATTATAGGTTGGCGTGGACATCAGGGAATGTTTTTATATGGGCTTATCTAGCTCCCGAATCTGTTTTCTTGAAACTGAATGCTTCTTGAGTTGGGAGTTGCTAAATGGTAACACATAGCAACCGATGAAAACTGTGTGCAAATATGTAAATGTTTTCACCGGCTGACGTAAGACCGTCTACACCTATATAACGGTGGAAATGTGTATTGAACCATTAGGTGGGGCATCATCTAAGTGCCTTTATTCATCATGCAAGTGCATAGCTCTTGGCTCAACATCGTAGTGTATTGCTGTGGTAGAAATAACACTCCTCTGCGTTAGGTGCAGTCAATTTCCGGCTAAGAAATACGTCTACGGCGATCACGGTAAAGCGACACGCGCACACAGTCGTGTTTTACTATGCCCTGAAGGACAAGGCTTTGTGTTTCCTTTTGTCCCTACAATATAACGCCCTCTCACAGATAAGCACACACCCTCACGATGGAGGACCCGTTTTCAACAAAAGACGAACGCTCTAGGACAACAAAGAATCTGTTTTGTTCTCTCTTGTCTGTCTGTCCTGGGGTTGCAGTACATGTACACCCGTGTGCACCCGTATGACCTAGGTGAACTGAGTCCGGTCATCAGTCACACATCCCGGGCGAAACCACCACACGTCGGACGGGCCCAAGATCCTCGCGCGGCTCTTCAGTCAACCAGTACGTCTGCATGGCTCCTTTGCCCTGTCAAAGGATACGAGAAACAAAATATTACAAAGGCTTTATGTAATTGTGGACGAACGGTAGACGGCGCTTCGTGACTACTTTCGAAAACCCAGTGATAGACTGTTTCCCGCATGGTTTTGTAGTACTGTTAATTAAAAAACAGTCAGACGGACACTTTTGGGGGAAACATACTGTAAATGTTTCTCCTGTTGATTCAGCGTTTATGATTTTTCAAAATCTCCCCCGCCATCTTGCGAAAAAAGACGACATTTATATTCAACCCCGCCGGCGAATGTCTTGGTATTAAAATTGAAGAAGATTCGCGAACTGCTGCCTTTGAATGTCAATTATTCATTCAGTATTCTAGGAATTAATATATTATTACAACCTTGTTGCTTGCAGTAGCATTTTTTACGACATTGATTAAAATCCTGACTCGAGGCATTCGGCGATGTGACGGGGTCTGATATAAGACCTCTGTAAAAACCCTGGGGATAAACTTAATAACAAAATGAAACGCGCATAACGCCTGCGCACACGTAGTGAACAACAAAATGCAGGATCACGTCATAATACCTGTGGGAAAGAGGTTAAGCCAGGCGCTGATCTCTTACCTTGACTACCGTAGTTTCCCTGGGGACGATCACGAATTTTCTCTTGCGCGGGGGAGCTTTGTTGACCAGCTCGTCCCAAGTTGCTCCACTAATTTGGATTCGCTGAGCTGTCAACAAATGGAGGTAATGAGGGTAAACTAATCAAAATTCTTTTCCTTATAGTTAATGAGACGCTCATTATCCTTACGCGTAATTGGCGCATGTAGTACGATATGAGTCTGAGGGACCCCCCCCCCCCTCTTCCTTGTGTTGGTCATTGTGTAACCAGAATCTCAGGAATTCTTTTAAGATATCTAGGGGGATGTGTTAGGTAACAAGAAAAAAAACCAAAAAAAGAACGAAGCAATGATTGTGAAGTTTAGTTGTTGTTTTTTTTACTTAAAATAAATCCTTATTTCCCCTCTTATATTATTACTCGTAAATTATTCCTTGTAAATTGTATTCAACAGCAAACTGGATTTCTGTGCCAATCAATTCGATTATACTAAATATTTATAAAAAAGAAAACTGGGGGAAAATCAATAAGAAAATCTGTTTACGAGAGAATCGAGGATTTTGGACAAGCTGACAGTCACAATTTGGCGGCAGAAACCGCCAGCCATTCAGCTGATTTCCGTACAGCCCTGGGGGCGATACGGGGCATCGCAGTCACGCCTTAGCATTCATGTCTATTCCCATGTGCTGTGTCAACACTAATAGGTAGAATGCCCCGCATTATCGAGGATCCGGACACCGGAGGTTGGTGCCACTTACTCCAAGCCCAATTATACAGATTCCAACTGCGCCACACCTGCTCCCATCACTGTACTGACGATTGCCGAATGTTTACTTTATCGTACAGTTTGCTTTTGAACATAATCGGCGGGTGCTGTCGAAGAAAATGTAAACATGATCTTCTTAAGGGCAGTCTTTACAAAGTTAATATTCTTATGGCATGTTGGGTTACCGGTTCTATGTGCACCAAAAGGTTTCTGCCACAAAATTAATGCCACGGCATTTAACATCGTATGTTTTATGTCTTAATTAGCAAGCATTCAGAGAGCGCAAACCTTTACCAAGTACACCCAAAAGAAATACTCGCATAAATGGTGAAAAATCTTAGCTAAAACAAAATTCCCGGATCCAGATCCGGATCACTTCCAAAATCTAATCGATATCCTACTAACAAGGACCACCCATAAAAACATGTTCATGCAAATCCGTCCAATAACGTTTGAGTTATCTTGTTAACAGAGGAACCAACCAACCAACCGACCGACCAACCAACAAAATCTGATGAAAACATAATCCCCTTGGCGAAGGCAATAAAGGCAGTCTGTGGTTTTATTTTCAACAACAAATGTGCACTCTTGGTTGCCTTTCCTAAAAAGCACACACTTATTACACTCAACGCCATTCGAGGTCGTTTCTGGTCACCACCGACATAAAAGTCTTGTATTAAAATGCAAAGTGCCGCAGCATCAGACGTCGAACTCGACTACTGGTATCGGACGCTTTTCAAGCCCTTCCGTATTATTGAAATTCTGCGGCATATTTCCATCTTAAGCCTTTTGGTCAATTTTCTATGAAATGGAAGCATTAAGGGGAAAACATACCGCACCAGTCGACCATCAAAGACAGGATAGGAGGGTTTTACAAGAGCAATCTACGCTGGATGGCTGACAGGGAAGAATCACCCGTTCAAGGCCGTCTGTTAATATGAACGGTGTTTTTTATATATTGGTTGGGGATGATCGAAAATTCTTGCCTGCGAGCACATTTTTTTTTTTGGGGGGGGGGGGGAGGGTTACTTTGAAATCGATTTAATAAAAATCCAAAATAAAATTGGATGTATCTCCTGTGGGATATAAATGGTAATGATATTTGTCTATCAGTGCAAGTTTAGATTGTGTTTTTACCCGAGGGGAGCTCGTCTTCTAGCGAAGACGATTTCAGAGCCAATGTAGCGCGGATAGTCTTCCGGCTTTTTTTGGCCATTCTTAACATCGTTGAAGGCCGAATTACTTTCGGATGTCGGTTTATACCGGAAAGCCATCTCGTTTGAGAATCCCACGGCGAGTCTATTGCTCTATCCGCGGCGTGTATAGCCGAACCAAGCATGACTAACACTCTCGACGGGTCTTGAACTGAATCTCGATCCGTATCCCGATTCGCATCGATATCTCTCTGAATTGGCCCCGCGGCATTTTTTCAAGGGTCATTTTCATGGATTTTCTGTCGTGAATTTCTCACCCAGACGGAAAATTTCTTCCCGGGGATCAAGATCTCAAGGAAACTGGACTCACGATACCTTTTTTTTTTGGCTGCCGCAGGAAAATTTTATATGAAAAAAAAAAAACCTCGAAATTACTTTGCAGAAGTGGGATTTCAAGGAATGCAGAAATTGTGTCAGGCCGTTATCACGTTTTGAGTGTTCATGTATATTTTAAATATTTACTCAAGTATCGGAAAAATGATCGGAAATCGATCTATAACTATTAACATTCATTTCGAATACCTTATGTTGCAGGTAAAACAATTATTCATAAATACTAAGACGGTTTACCCATTCCTATTGGTCGAGAGCCCGTCACGTGGCCGGTTTTAAACGGTTGATAAAGACCGGCTGGCTTGTCCTCAACATTTTTCCAGTGTCACGTGAAATTTTGACTCCTATGAAATTCATTGCCTTTTACCGTTTTTTTTTTTTAGGTTTAACGTTCACCAGCCTCACGTAGGCATGCGCAATACTACCACTGAGTCAGTATTTCATAGTTCTAAATTCAAACACACCGGCACAGCTGCGTTCTGCGCCACATCGCGCAGTACGCGCGACGCGCGAGCCAATCTCCACATAAGGAGTTGTTCACGCCAACCCACGAGAGGGCCCTACCATATTGGGGTGTTTTGGACAGAAACGTTTAGGTTTTTTTGACCGAAAACGTATTTATGAATGGGATTCGGCTCGGGTAATAATCAGCGTCCAGACTCCAACTGGTCTTAAACATTGTGTTTAAAACTGGCCAAGCACACATTTTATTACTAAGTGAAATCATGGCCGGGTTGAAGTCCTTGGTTCGAAAACTCGGGAATTGAAAACATCTGGCTGCTTTTATTAATGTGATGGTGGCTTTGGTATGACAATGCGCTTTACGATGTGTCTGGTAAAGGCTTCATTGAGACAGTGTGTGGGGTCATCAACCACAAAGTCATTCCTCCCTGAAGCATTTCCAATATATCATGTATTTTTTTCCCGAGTAATCCATAGATTCCAGTAATGAATTGATATCACAATCTTTAATACCAAACATATGTTTGCCGTAGGTGTGTGTCTGTGCGGGGGCAGTGCACAGTACTATCTTCCACTCAAGACGCACTTCGATTTTACTGTAAAGTGATGAAAATTATGTTGTTTTGGACAACAGTTTTTGTTTCAATCCCGAAATCGATAATTGATTAAGTTCGGAGCTTTGCGAATCGCGCCTCTGAAAATGAAAACAACAACGTGTGCTCACTGCAATAAAGGGGCGAAACTCGAGACCATTGACCTCTATAGCTAAGTTGTTAAGAAGTCTTTGGCAAATTTTGTGAGAAGGCTTAAAAGGGCATTACAGCCTTGAATGCGCCAAATTGTGCTACAAAAGGCGTTTTAAACAAAATATATTAATTTGAAAGATCATTTAAAAATAGGAAAAAAAACGTTCACACAACCATCTTTTTAAAACTGGGCGTTATTATTTTTGCGAGAACCGGGCGAGAACGAATTTCGGGGTCACAATGTTGACTCCGGAAAAAAAATCGAGCTGTTGAGTGCTACAATCCTGCCGCACAGTGGTTCGCATTCTGTGAACGTGTATAGAACAACATGCGTGTACTGGCACTGTGTGTATTATATGACACACATGTACACTTCATTGAAGTACGCTGAAAATACGTAGCCGTATGATACAAAATGTCCTTTCCTTTCAACCAGACCTATGATATATTATAACTAAACAATCCAAAACATGACATTGTCAGAGCTTTCAGACCGGAATACCCATTTCAGCGACTCAACCAACGCTCGACCCCGTCGTCATCTAGCACAACTGCAATCCGGTATTTTCCCAGAAGGACTTTTGGAAGGGCATTTAAGACGATCAGAGATACCTGAAAGGGTAAGCCTTTTCTAATAAAATAGATATCGTGCCCACGCAGAATAATTCAGTTTTCTGTCATTACCGATCTTGATTTAAAGGCCACAGGGGACGTTGGTATTTCATGTGGATTTGTTTTGTTCAGTTTCACATTACAAGATCACTGTCTGACCTGTTGATGATTCAATTCTGTGCCCAGAAACTGGTGATACTTGTAAACCTGGGGACGCATTTAGTAAATTAGCATTCGGTGTGCGCGAGCGCTCCAATTACCGCCCGATAAGATAGACGACCGTACTTATATATCCAGGTTTTGGGTTTCGGGGTGCTAAAGTGGGTGGTTTTTTTTTTTTTTTTTTTTTTGGCTTTAGTGGCTCATTTAATCAAAAATCTAATCGTTGAAGGTGGGAGAGGGTATCTTCTAGCTGTTGTGGAGTGTTGGTGCTTACATATTTATCCCCTGGCTCAATTTTAAGCTAGAAAGGGGGATATTGCGATAGTGTATTCCTTCTGTGATGTGTAAAGGTGAGAATGTTAACACCGGCAATCGTGGACTTGGGACAAAAGGGTTAGGGCAGAAACAACACGTCCACGATTGACCGAACTTCCACGATTGAAATTTGTGTACAAAACCAATGAGAGCTGTTGCTAAAAAATAAGTACAAACAAAGGAATGAGGATTAGGGACAATAGGGGGTCCACGATTGGGTGTTTACGAAGATGGGTACGTGTTCTACATAACCCTCGAGGACCGACACTCAAAGGTAGAACAACAAATTCTTTCCTTTCAGTCATCGGGCGTTGGGACTTTTGTTCCAAACGGTCCTGCTTAATGCTGTCATATGAAAAGTCGGACTTCAATCTCAACCACTTGAAGTTGCCCGTGACAATAATCTTTGAGTAGGGTGACTTCAGATGACGTAAGACATCTGAAGTGGTCAAAGGTCATCTAGGGGTCAAATAAGGTCGTTGTTGGTTTTGGTTAGGTACACTGAAAAGTATGCTTATACTAACTGACTACATGCCAGGAGGATCGCGCAAGTTTCTTGCAGTATTAGTTAAAAATTGGAATTCTACCGAGTCACCACTAGCACTGAAGGACTTACGTTCCCTCCCAAGTCATAAATGACGGACACATTTTGAGGCATTCGACTCTGATGCCCTCCCGTTGTACAAAAATGCCCTGAGCCGTATGTGCCGGGGTACCGGTATATAGGGGTGCTCTCTTTTGTAAAAATAATGAGCTCTCTCAAGTGTGACGATAGAATACCGGTGGCAGGTGCAATCTTCACGTAAGTCCTTCAGTGCTAGTGGTGACGAGGTAGAATTCCAATTAAACTTCAATTTCATTTCATTTCATTTCCGTTTAATTTTTAAATTATCTTGCAGCAACCAACCAACTTCGCACGACACATTATTATCCTTCGCAGTATACGTGTTTCAAATGGCACTGCAGAAATTGAAGACACATACGCTGGTGATTATGTCTTCATTAATTCCACAACGTATTCAACGTACACCTGAGCTGTCTAGAAAGAAATGAGAGTTTTAGTCCGCCATGGGTCAGTGAACCCTGCAAGTCACTGGGGAAATCAAATTGGAGAATTACACTGTCATGGTACGAGCAGGCACCCTATAGACCTACTGCAATCACTTTTTTACGGGAGGCTTTAAGGAATTTACTCTGATCATAGACGTTCTCTCAAGATTTGCTCTCAAGATTTGCTCTCGAGATTTGCCCTCAAGATTGTAGTTTGTAGAATTTCGTGTTTGCAATGGGAACATTCCGCAGAACTGGCACACACGTTACTTGGGAGTCCGCCAGGAAATCAACATTACTATTCGTGTACTTTCAGGTAAAGAATAGTCAAGAGAGTCACGCTAGAGGGGGTTGTAGGGGTGTGACCGCATTACTTCCCGTTTGTTGGTCTCTTGGCAAATCTGTATAGTCACAACCAACCCCATTCAAATTGACTTAACGAATCCCGTAAGAAATCTCCGTTGAGACAGTACGGGGTTTTTATTGACCGTTACACCACTTGCAGGTACGAGTACTACCTCTAGGTACTGTACCGCTAGGTAAGTGAACACGACTGCATTTGTTGGGGCTACGACAGACATGGTTTTGTCGACGCCAACATACCAAGCCACTTTCTTTTGTAGACTTGTCACGAGTCATAAAAACGTTGCAGCCTAGTTGCCAAAACCGTACGCTTAATTTATTGTTATATAATTTTGTATATATACATGTATATAGGTTGCAAAAACGGCTGTGCAATGTTACCAGCGTTGCGTACAGCTCGGGTTATTTATTATGCTGTTCTGTAAACTTTGAATTTTATTTCTTTTATGAAGTTGCAATGATGTTGTAGACATTGTCACAACGTGACACAGTTAGCTATGGATAGGGGACCTATGCATCATAGGGAGTGCACCTCCCTTTCACAAGACAACTTAATCTAAATTAATACGCGTGTACGTTCAATCATGAGTGCATTACTAAATGCTTCAAAATGTATGACGTCATTTGTCATTTCAATTAGGACACTTTACCTTTGCCCGTAGATTCCATCCGCGATGCAGTGTTTACGGTGTCCCCGAAGAGACAATACCGAGGCATCTTTATTCCAGCAACTCCAGCTACACATGAGCCTGTGATATATAAAACAAAAGGAAACTATGGCAATTTCACACAATTTCATTTACATGTCAGGTCAGAAGAACCGACGTCGCTAGACCGATTTGAATGAGGGGGGGGGGGGAGTGCGAAATCAAATTTGCCGACACATCACTCCGGGCTGAAATAGCCAAGAATTGTTCCAATCATCTGGCATCCGCAAGATCAAGGGGGTGGGGGTGCTTGACAAATCTGACTGATGGGGGTGCTGTTCGAAGCGGAAAGTAGGTTGCGATGGGCAACAATTTTGCCGACAAAAACTAGATTGCTATAAGACAATAATCCCCTTGTTCACCTGAGTGCAAGCCGACTCTCAGACTAAGGCTCTCCGCAGGAAGGTGCGGTATCCGGAAGAGTTGCACCTCCCGTAGCAGGTCCAGCGCCATGCAGGCGATCTCACAGGCGTGGTTGGCCGTGGGTTCGGGTAGGCCCGAAGCCACCATGTAGGCGTCGCCTATTGTCTCCACCTTGTACACGTCGTACATGTCGATACAGTTGTCGAACATACTGGAATATGATAAAAACAGTGTAACGTTTATACCTTTTTCCCCAACAGAAAGTAATTGGTATGTCCCCAAAACACTCTACCCTTGTCTTTATGGCATGAAAGATGGGTACCGTTCCTTGTTGGATTTTTTTCTCCATATTCTGTCTGAAACAAAATTAAGAGTTTTTGGAGAGTGTGGTTTTCCCGGCCTTTTTCCCGAAATGTTCATTCACTTCTGAAAATCAGTCTTTCCTTTTCGTCTGAATTTGAATGCACGTCTTTGATCCCACTTCAAATCAACGAAAGTCCAACCGTTTTCATTGTCTGTGCATTCGGTTTTGAGAAACAGGTGGCCAATTCCGTTACCTGTGCATTCGTTTATGCAAGCATACTTTTTCTAAATTGATTTCAGGTATACAGCTAATTTTATTGACGGTTAATGAAAAGAAACCCCTAATTGTGTCTGGTGCCGATGGCATTAAACTCATAATCGCCCTCTAAAAGCCCAAAAGAAGTCTCGCAAACGAATCTGAAAGGACACAAACGAAAGGTGCTGCTCAATCACTTAATTGATTGTAATTACAAATGATGGACTATACCTTTAAATCACATTAAAAGCTAATATAGGTTTTCCCGGCCAATTTCCATACCCCCACTGAAACGGAATCGATTCCTCTGGTAGCGAAAACGAAGCGCACGTTCAGAGCGATTCTCCAATTCAGACGAAAATGAATGACCTATTTTCAGAAGTTAATGAACATTTTAGGAAATTGGCCGAGAAAACCTTTATTAGCTTTTAATGTGATTTATAGGTATAGTCCATCATTTGTAATTTGTGCATTTTGTTCGTATGAAGCAACAAAGTGCTCAAAATCTAAAGAAGGGTGCTGAACAACTAACCTGATGAAGTTGCAAATCATCTTCAGCTGTATATTTCGAGAAAAACATTCTAGGATTTCGATTTCAAATCAAAACTTGCTGAATCATGTTTTGAATTGGGCCTGATCAGCGTCCGAGACATGTTCTCGCTAGCCTACTGCCATAGATAGTACTTTTTGAGCCCCTGCGTGAATGGCAGTAATAACAAATGTCACGTGATGTGAGTTCCACCAATCAAATGACAATGATCTGTATGTCGGTTATATAATGAATGCTTCGAGTGGTGTAGTGAAACTAGCCTCCCGAGGTTATCCATGGACATTTTATTTTTCCCGAGGCGAAGCCGAGGTAAAATAGAATGCTCCTTGGAATCACCGAGGGAGGCTAGGTTTACTTCACCACGAGATAAAGCATTCAATATTTGTTTCATAACACTTCACCGACAGATTCTGCTTGGTTTTAATACTTTAAATTATTTAAATCTGAACACAATTAAAATAAATTCAATTTGGTGGGAAATGTATTTCTCTCTTCCAAACTACCCCTTCCTGAAATGTTTGAACCCAACCCTGTGGCGCGCTCTCTTGTGAATGATGAACAATACGCGCTTCGCGCAACGCGCACACCAGCATGCATCTGCACACAAATACCGCGCCGTGGAAATAGTACTTTGGTTGCTAATGGTACAGTACTTTGGTTGCTACGGGTTTAGTACTTTTGGCCTTGCACAGAAAGATAGCAAAAATAGAAAGTATCATGTGACTCGCTCTAGGCCAATCAAGACACAGAATTTGTGGGTGAGGTGTTATAATTCAAACTGGACATTGGACTATCGTCTAAAATCGTGCGTTTGATTAAGCAGACTTTATGGCTAACCACTGTTCTTGATCCTATATAGGTTAATGAATCAAATAAACGTGTGTTTTCCGCTGCGTCTGTCATTTCCAATCCACACAATTTAAACTTTAGTTGGGACGAGGGATGAATCCCAACTGTCTCACCAGGATGTAAGGCAACAGAAATGATTACGAATTTCTTCTGTTGACTGGAAAATCCAAAAAGTGCATTACAAATTTGGAATACGCCTCAGTGGTAGTTTATTTTACATTTGGCGTGTGGCAGTGAAATGCCATGTAGTCAAACAGACCTAGGGTTTTGGTGCACAAAGTTGCAATTCAGACAAAATAGAACATGACCTGTAAGAAAAACCCAAGAGTTCAAAACCCTCCGATAAAGAAAAGATAACACTTGTTTTGTACGCATACAAAATGTAGGCCGTACACGGCAAGGCAGCCTACTTGGCAGTCTCAGCTAGGCGAAAACAGGCCGGAACGCGCATTATTGAGGGATATTTATAGCTACACGGGGCTATTAGCATTTACGATTGGCAGGGCTAGAGCCTGCAGAATCATCGACACACAAAGACATGTCATTTCTATCTCCAGCTCAGTCGCTAGAAATGCAGACTGCAGGAGGCACTGCGCTCATCATAGCATCACCGTTTTAACGACGGGACGGGCATGTGGATTTTTGAAGAAACACCGTTTTCGAGATAATCGCAAGACATGTTTCTCCTATTTCAAAACTGCAAAAACTTCTACTTTGCAACAACTATTAACCTTCACATAATTTGTTGATGGGTAACCTTCAATTTGAGCCCGGTAATTAGAATTAACACAGTGGTTAATTAGCCAAAATTAATCCGTCCCCTCGTAAAAACGAAAATCCCAGTTTTCAATGTGTTTTTTTTCCAAAGGGAAGGAGCGCGCGTGTTTACCCGCGCGCAGCTGCCAATGTAACAAAGATGTCCCTCCCATAACCCGTCCCTTCGTGAAATCGAAAATCTCAGTTGACCTACTTTCACGCCTTTCCGTGCAATAGGTTTTGTACGTGTTCTAGGAGCAGGCATGTTCGCGTCTCTTCGTGCCGGAAGACGCAAAATGCAATTATTGAGAGGCCTACCCCTGGCATCATTAATATAGTTTAGGAATTATGATGTTTTGCTTACGGAAGCATGTCAAAATGCTCAAGTACCATGTTTTAAAAGCAAAATAGTGAGAAAAAAACTGGAAATCTAATAACAAATTTGTCAATTTTCACGTGCCCGTCTCTTCGTGAAAACGGTGACATCATAAGCAACAATGTTTAACATGGAGGCAGTTCAGTCGGCATCATTAAAAACCAAACTCCGCCGCATGCGCAAAACAAATATAGGTTGTTGCTGAATTTGAACGAACAATGTGTTAAAATAGGCGGGAAAACCTAAATTATTCTGACCGATTTTCAGTTTCACCAAGTTAACGCTATATCGCCATGTCCAGTCTGTCTGATTTTCCAGACAACTCTGAAGCTTATAAGACTGGCACACTTGAATTGTCTTCCGGGTTCAAGTTAAAATCCATAATCCCCACTCAGAATTGTTCCTTGGGCGACATTCCCTCATGAGGCCTTTGAAACCCTAACCGCCCCCAAGGCTACAAATAGTCACCTGTAGTATGCATTTCTTTCCATACAAGTGTGCACAACAGTTGCACCTCTATGTTCCGACACCCCTATGTTCCGACAACTCAACCTATATGTCTCGACATCCCTATGTTCCACCCCCCATGTTCCGACTGCACATATTCTTATCCCTATCTCTAACCTTTACCCTAAACATTACCCTAACCCTAACCCTCACCAGGAGTATACAATTTTATGTGCAGGTTGTCGGAACAGGGCTGTCGGAACATAGGGGTGTCGGATCATAGGTTAAGTAGTCGGAACAAAGGGTGTCGGAGCATAGGGGTGTTGGAACATAGGGGTGTCGGAACATATATATGTTGAGTTGTCGGAACAAAGGGGTGTCAGAACATAGGGGTGTCGGAACATATAGGTTGAGTTGTCGGAACAAAGGATTGTCGGAACATAGGGGTGTCGGAACATAGGGTGAGCCGTCGGAACGGGGGGGTCGGAACATAGAGCAGTCACCTGCACAACACATGTAGTATTCCATGGTAATTGGTCAATGACGCACAAAGAGTCTTTACCAAAGTCTCCCCGATAGTGAATAAAGTTGGACGACTTTGGCTTTCTTTTTGATAGACAATATTCGTCGTAGAACTGACATACCGACGAATAAGCGAAAACGTTGTTTCGAGTAATTCGCGTTTGAAGTTGGACATTTTTTCTGGGCGCCGTATTTTACCCTTAATGTTTCGATAAAAACCCTTTTAGTATATAGGCCTATTCGGAATAAAATAGGAAATGAGGGTTGTGAGCGCTATAAGTTCCCGTTTCGTCATAACCACGTATCAGAATTATTTTGAATCGACGGTTCTCTAAGACGAGCTACATCACCAACAAAAGAAACACACCCACCGTTTCTATCCGTGCAAATAATATCCAAGTGGCATGCTCTGAGGACGTCAGCAGGATTTTTCCCATCTAATTAGGTGGCTGCGTAATCATGACCTAAACCTCCTCGTAAAAACAAGGGCCTTTTAGAGAAGCATATAAAGCTCTTGGTTCGAATGGGGGAAAACAACTGTGTCACGGACTGTTTATATTTCAATACGAAGCTGAACAACAACAAAAAAAGGTTTCTTGAAAGGGAGTGAACTTTTCTTAAAAGCGTTGTGTTTGCTTTTAATTTGACCAATGCAAAGCTGAAAGCTCTACTCGCGGTACAAAGTGCCACAGAAGGAGCAGAAATTGCGGAAAAGAAAAACAAATCGATAATTATGAAGAGCACAAGCCATGTTTGTCTTAAAACATAGAGTATTAGGTGAGAGAGAGCATGCATGTCCTCATAGCTCTACGTTGAAGGCTTTTAACATGGCTCTTGATGACGGCGATGTCTGAAGTGTGGATGTGAGCTAGTAAAGAGACGGCGAACCGAGTATCCGTCACCGTGAACGGGGACGGCAAGGTTAAAACACGAGTATCTGCCGTAAGACATTGGGCAATCAGACTGACGACCTCTTGACTAACATGCGGCGAAACATAACCTCAAGTGGTCTGGCCATGATTTAAATGTCAGCAGATACCGTGAAGAATAAAAACGGAGAGGACATTTAAGAAGAAAAGAAGGTTTCCTTAAGAACCACGGTCAGTCCAAAAAGACGAAGGAAAACCATCCAAATAGCTTGTTGCCAAGGCA